TCAAGCCTGCCTAATGAAAGACGGGAGTCAGCCACACGGTCTTCTCCTTTTGTGAGCATACGAGATAGCGAGTGATCATACATACCATCGGAGAGGTTGACGCCCAAGCCAATGAACGATCTCGCCGTTGGCGACAGACAGTACGGACTGGAACCTTGCAGCAGGCCTGTTTCTACGTCCAAGAGGTCGAAAGAGATCTATCGATCTGTATATATCTCACGAACCATCCCACGGGCCCCATCGCGGCCACCCGAGTTCCCTGTTTGTCTTCTCCCCTGGCCAGCTTTACCCCCACTACTGAACATTTTAACTTCAGTGCCCAGGCTGAGGGAGTTCAAAGTTTACTTTTACATACTCTTTCCCGAAGTTTCTGATGTTATCGCAGGTCATGGAGTCTCTGTGGCAGCGAGGCATCGAGGCCGAGTGGAAAGATGTCCGAGATATCCCGTCAACGCCTCTTCAGCAGGTGGCGATGGCGATATTGTTCCTGTTCACCTTTACAGCATTACTGAGCTACGTCTTGAGAATGTACAGCAAGTTCACCACAAAGCAGATTGGCCTCGGTATGCAAATCTCATTGCATGTACTTTGAACAACCATTGACTAAATCTCCAGACGACTACTTCATGACCGGTGCAATGGTAAGGATCATTCGGCAGTGTGCCGATCATGAAAAAAGTCTTGGCTGACACCAGTCGATGATAGTTCTTCTCTCTCGCGCTGCTCGTTCCGACGTACATGTTCTTCAAGTACTACTACGTCGGCTTTCCAACGTCGTCTCTGCCCGCCGACTGGGACCCGGCGCCGATGCTGTTCTGGAACTGGATTATGCAGGTTCTCTATAACCCAATTCTCGCCCTCGTCAAGTCGTCTGTGCTCGTCTTCCTCTTGCGACTGGGTGGTCACAAGCGCGGAGTAAGATGGACCATCTACGGCTTGAATACCATCAACCTGCTTACGATGGTTGCCATCTTTTTGACGGTCTTGTTCCAAACCATACCCATCAACGCTTTTTGGGATATGAGCGTCAAGAAACAGAGAGAGATTGACGGGCCCTTGTTCTACATTGTCAGCGCTATCATTACCATTATCACCGATTTCTTCGTCCTCGCCATACCATTTTGGATCTTTCTAGGATTAAAGATGCGCATGGCCGCCAAAATTGGCTTGATCGTGGTGTTCTTGGCGGGTGGAGTGTAAGTTGCTGGCTTTAGGCGCTCTCGCTCTTCTTACGAATCTTGCTGATCTTTGATAAGGTCCATAGTTGTAGCGATCATGCGAGTACACGAACTGCGGAAGAAGTTCTACAACCTAGACCCAGGCTACGATGCCCGAGACGGAGTCGGAGACACCTACAGCGCTATCGAAGTCAACCTCTCCATCATCGCCGCGTGCGTTCCTGCCTTGCGGCCCCTTTTCCGCAAATGGATGCCGGGCATGTTCTCCAACAAAAGCAGCAACGACAACGGCGTCTACAACAACAGCCAGTATGCGCGCTACGGAACCGGGTACGGCACTGGAACCGGCACCGGCACGACTTCGAAGCACCACCGCAACACCGTCGGCAACGGCTTTCCTTTGAAGGACATGCGCAGCACGCACACGGAGATCAGGGGCCACTCCCCAGACGGAAGCGAGGAGGAGATCATGACGTACAACGGCATTATGAGAACGACCAATGTAAGACAAAAGACGAAGAACGATTTGATGGTTTGATGAGGACGCTAAAGGCTTTTTTTCTTTTAAGGTTCAGGTTACGTACAACGATTCGAATTCTGTTATGATGGATAAGGATGGGGAATCTGGACAGGAGCGTTTGGAGTCTGAGAAGCCGGTGAGACGGAACAGCAAGTTCGGCGTGGGTCCTGGCGTTTGACAGGAGTTTGGAGTGTGTTGGCAAAGGGAGCATGGTTGATTCAGCATTTCCTTTGTCTTTCTGTAATGATATCAGGACACAGCAGTTGGTGATATGGATAACTGGTTCAGTGCCTGCCTCACAGGCTTGTTTACGCAATGAGGTGTCTTTCCTGTGCCGAAGTGATACCGATCCCATCGTCGGACGTATACTTTGATGGTATTAGGTGTTTTATTTCATCCTTACGTCAGGTCATGATCATTTCGCTACAGCTCTAGGGGTACTACAGCAAACCTTGAAGTAAGCTTGAAAGCGCAGTACTCTTTCCAATGCTCTTTGAGAAATTATCAAAAAACGTTCGATTTATCCCATCGGCTACGACTCGATGGGTGGATTAGGGCACAAGGCTTCACGATCTTATCCCATCAAGTGCTACCTGACGCCATACACGAGGGGGCGGGGTACAACTAATCAAATACTATTCCAATAAATCGAAGGCTTTTCCAGGCAAATCAGAGATTTCATCAAGATCAGATTTGGAGACATAACGGATACTTGATGTACTGGCGTCATGCAGCACTCAATGGGATAGCTACACAAGTGTAATGAAACAATTTCGACACTCCGTTTTCGAGAATGGCAAGTTCTGCTGCTAATTATTCTTCTGGCCGACATTAAACATATCATTCATCATTGGACATCTACTTTTCTGCCTTTTAGTCTTAATTAATTAGCCTTATGACAGTGATCAATCATCTCCCTAGCATTCTTGGGGACACTTCAGCAAGGCTAGAAGGTTGCTGCAAACGTAACGCGCCGGCATCAAAGTAATAAGCCTGATATACAAATGGTTTGATCCATGGGAGCCAAAGCCCACAGCTTACCAGTTCAACTGACTTAAGGCAATGAGAGTTTCAGTATCGGAACCTGGCCGTCATGTGGTAGACCTGGGAGTATGAGGGAAGCATCTACTCAGGTCCTGGGAGACTCTGCCCCTATGTGCTGTTTCCAGAGCCCCCTGCCCTTCATATTGGATAGGAGTCATCGGCACCGACCAAAAGCATTGTTGTTCCCTGGTTTCGGTAACAGTCAGACCTTCTCCAGATGAAGGACCAACGACTCAGACACCTGATTCTCTTGCGTCAATCAGCCCAAGCATTGTTTTACCCGGAACTGACTAGAAAAGTGCAGGATTTCATTCCATGACTTTTACAAGTAGCTACAGAGAGTCTTCGAACAGTCAAATTTGCGTCTTTAGATTTTCGAGCATTCCGTTATCCTAAGCGCTGATGAAGTGGCCAGGCGCATTTAAATAGGAGAACCCTGATGGCCTAGAACCCCTCACCGACCAGTGGACCTCCACCGACACACCGAGACAACTTACATTGCGTGCTTCCTTATTCCCACTCTAAATCCTCTTTCCTTAGCTGCATCGTAGCTCACCCTGCAATCTTCCCGAGACTTGGACCCTAGATTTACATGTTCGGGTAACTTCTTACCACACAAAAGAGAATCTATCAAGTTCAAAAGTCAGCCGAGAAAATGCACGACCTGACAAGTGTGCAGTTTTCTGGTGGGCTCGTCAAAGTTTTCTCATAATATACGGTCGCTGGCTCCCCCATGTTGACATCTGCATGCAAGAGGCTCACCACTATTCTTAAGTTTTGTTGTTCTTCGATCACGCCGACTCTCCTGAATTCATCTCTATTCCGCCTTTAAGCTTTGCCAACCCTCAGGATGATCCTTGGCCGGAAAGCTTGAGACCACCTTGAGACGTCGCATTGGAACGAATCGCGCCAATCACGACCCAGCATTCGTCGGATAAGACGGCGAGTTCATCTGATCTCAGTCACGGTCACCTGGCGACCGGGACAATGCTCAACATAACGGCCCTGGAGCTATCCGAGGGGTTGCTCAAATGCCGGCAGGCCGTCTGGGCAATCTCCCGCATCAAATGGCATCCTGCAAGGGCTGACAAGAGGGCAAAAAGGCGGCGGTCTTGGGTCCGCGAACCGCAACCTCGCGTGCCTTTATCCCGTCGCCTGACCATATCTTCACAAAACATGGAAATTCTCCGTTTCGTTTCGCACCAAGCCCAAAGAGATATCCGACCTGGGGGCACAGGTAATGGGGCCTCGCTGTACACTAGTATGTTCCCCTTGTTACGTATTACCCGATGCCTCTCCCTGGTCACTCCCCCTCGCGTCTCCGGCACTCATGTTGCATTGCCGTCCCAAAAAGGCAAACTGCCGCTGGGGCATCCCGGCCGAGACTCTTCCACTGGCGGCTTTTTCTCCAAGAGCGCACGATTGGCGGAGATTCCTGTTCGCCGTAGGCCAGAAAAACGTGTCAACCAAATAGGGCCCCCTTTTTTCTTCCCAAAGCCAGATTGATTGCGCGATTGTCTTACCTTAAGAAGTGGGGATGCGAAGGGGTCACCGCGGCAAACCTCTTCCCATTCGAGAGTGAGAAAGCCGACCAGCCGGGCCCGAACAAACTGCACAGCGCAGCGAGGAACGGAGATTCAAGGCATGCCACGCGCCCAGGTGTTCTGTTCGAAACGAGCAGAGCTACTGCGTGGTACGCTGCGTGTGGGGTTTCCTAGCCTTTCCCTCCCTCACTCCTCTCCGCTCAGCGGCGCCCTCGATGCGACCTCAGTCCGCTCACCTGATTGCTGGCTTGCGTTCAGCCGTTCCGCTCTGGGTGAACACTCACACTTTACATGGCACACACTGCTCAGGCCCGCGCCCCCTTTGGGTTGTCTCTCACGATGGTTCTCGCCCAATGATGGGCCGAGCAGCCACCCCGGACGAGTGGAATCGGCACGTTTGTTGCCTTTCGATATTGAGGAGGTCGATGGTGAGAAGCAAGCGACGGTTGGCCCATGACTGTGACTAGGGACAAGGTTTACTTACGGTCGTGATCTTTGTTTGGGAGTATGGGATTTCCCACAAATCCCGGCTCATGCGGAAAGCTTCATTAAGAAGACATCCCATCCCGACTTAAGACCTGAACTTTGTTTTTCCTTCCTTTTGAGGCTGTCATCTCTTTCTTAGCGACACCATCCTCCCTCTCTTTCTCTCGTTCGCTTGGCCGAATCATCACTTTCTTTGACTTCCAACTTGATCCATCTCCAACCAACACCATGCGTGCGACTCTTTCCGTAGTAGCCGGCCTCCTCGGCCTGGCCTCCGCCCTGCCCGCCGGCGACGTCGACTCCTCCGTCCTCGAGAAGCGCGCCACCCCGACCGTCTGGATGTGCGGCGACAGCACCATGGCCAAGGGCGGCGGCGGCTCCGGCACCGAGGGCTGGGGCCAGTACCTGCAGTACTCGTTCGACAGCAGCAAGGCCAAGGTCGACAACCGCGCCATCGGCGGCCGCAGCGCGCGCTCGTACACGCGCGAGGGCCGCTTCGACACCGTCGCCGGGCTCGTCCAGTCCGGCGACTGGGTCATTATGGAGTTCGGCCACAACGACGGCGGCTCGCTGAGCACCACCGACAACGGCCGCACCGACTGCTTCGGCGATGGTACCCAGACCTGCCAGACGACCTACAAGTGAGTTTTTCTAGTTGATGTTATGTGTGAGTGCAATATAGACTAACAATGGATGCAGCGGCGTCGCGGAGACCGTCCTTACTTTCCCTGCGTACCTGAAGAACGCCGCAACCAAGATGAGCGCCAAGGTGAGGCTCAACAATCGCCAAGTCCATCACACGCAGGAAGCTAACCCCAACCTAGGGCGCCAAGGTCATCATCTCCGCCGCCACCCCCAACAACGTCTGGGAGTCCGGCAGCTTCTCCTGGTCCGCGGACCGCTTCTACTACTACTGCTGGTAAGTCAACATCAACAAACGGCCTAACATGGTTGACACAATACTGACATTGTCGACCACCAGGCTCGCCGTCCAGCAGCTCGGCGGCCCCTCCAAGGGCTTCTACTTCGTCCCGCACGGCGAGTACGCCGCGCAGGCGATGAAGAACCTCGGCGCGACGACCATCAACGCCAACTACCCCAACGACCACACTCACACAGCCCCGTACCTCGCCGACGTGATGCACAAGGCCTTCGTCCTCGGCCTCGAGTGCGGCACCAGCGCGCTCGCCAAGCTGGCCAAGAACACCACGGCCTCGCTCACCTCGACCTACCTCGGCGCCTGCATCGACAACTACAACTCCACGGTCCACGCTCTCCTGCGATAAGCAGCCTCTCGGCTTTTTCTAATTGTCTATTACGAGCGTACATAAGCTTGGATTCGTGCACATACTTTCAGGATCTCGGGCGAGCTAGGACACTGATGTTAGTCTAGCTGCCTTGAGCGTATATACAATGCATAGCATATTGCCTTCATACCTGGCTTACACCCCAAGTGTCTGAATACTCATACTGAAAATCATGAAATGATGTCGAGGTTTTACGCGCGGCCGCAGCGATGCACAACTCACCTCCCAGACGCGGTGTCATCTTCCGACCGAAGATCGGGTGAAATTCCGACGTGAATGCCCGGTGTCCGTCAACGTTTCACGGTCAATAGCTGCACGACGATATTTTCGTAAGACCGAAACCAAGGATCCGGAGCCGCAGGGATTGGAAGCGGAGTGCCGGTGGCGAAGCTAGCTATTCTAAGCAGGACGACAGACATCGCGACCCGCATCATTGGCCCAGATACGACAGCCGCATTCCTCCGACGCTGCAGACCACCTGCAGCCTGCAGGGCATAGTACGACATGAAAATGCTTGAAAAAGCGGTTCCAGCCTTGTTTACCTGCCAAACAATTGAGTTTTTCTAGTCTGTCCCATCACTGCTTCGCGCCGTCTCTCACCAGACTTCAAGAGGTCTAGTACCATCTTCTCCCCCTTGCTTAGGAAACCCCGGCATCAAATCGCCGACCATGGGCTCGTCCGACAAGATCTCCGTAGAATTCCTCCCGACCGGCACATGTTGGATGCGCGAGCCGATGAGCGGGCAACCCATCACCAACGCCTTCGTGCCCTTCCGCATGCTCCGCTCATTCACCGGGCCATGGCTCGGGCCCCTCCCGGTGGGCGCGTTCCTCATCCGGCACCCCGCGGGCCCGATCCTCTTCGACACGGGCATCTCCACTAAGTGCAACGACGCCGGCTACTTCCCCTGCTGGAACCCCATCCCGGGCATCCTCAACAAGTTCGACGTGACCCCCGAGGACGCCATTATCAACCGCCTGGCCGAGCGCGGGGTGAAGCCAACGGAGCTGCAGGCAATCATCGTGAGCCATCTGCACCACGACCACGCGGGCGGGCTGAAGGAGCTGGCGGCGGCGGCGCCGGAGGTGCCGATCTACGTCGGGGGCGAGCACTGGGACGCGTTCGGGAAGCACACGATCTACGCGGCGATGCAGGGGGCAATCCCGTCGGACTGGCCGCCGGGATTTGAGCCGCGGATTTTGGATTTTGACGAGAAGAGGGCGGTTGGGCCGTGGGGGCGGTCGTGTGCCATCACTGCGAACGGGACGGTGGTTGCGGTTGATACGCCGGGGCATGTGCCGGGGCATATTTCATTGGTCGTCGTCGGTGATAATGACGACGGTACGAAGAAAACGTACTTTCTGGCTGGGGATGCGACGTACGGCATTCATTTGCTGGATGCGGAGGCGCCGGATGGGGCGAACAGTGACCCGTTCACGGCGTTTGAGAGTCTGAAGAAGATTAAGGAGTATGCGAGGCAGACGGATATTGTTGTTTTGCCCACGCATGATCCGGATACGCCACGCCTGCTGAAGGATAGGGTGGTGTATCGGCCGAAGGATGAGGCCAAGGAGTGAGCGGCTTGCGTCAATTGGGAAACGCGGCGTTTATGACACTTTTGTGATAGGCATAGAAAATAGAGTCAGTTCATGCACAGGCAGGCTTCTCATGTCAATATTTGATCAGATTTAAAGCCGATTAGGAACATACCCCTTCGTTCCAGTCATAGATGTTGTTAAGTCTGACGGGCTAGCCTCAGCCTAGGTATCAAGTTATCAACTTGGTGAACGGGGTTCCAGTGTTAAAACACACAAAGCCGGTTCATCCGGTCCTCGCCATCTCAACGCGTACAACAGATCTATCAGAAACAAACCATCGTAGACAAACACAAGGCTTCGAAACGGGGGTCCGCTGTGGATGCATCCGCAGCGGGACGAGAGCTCGGGCTGTAGATCCACGGGGGATCGGCAAGTGGGGGAGAGAGACGCGGGATGGTGGGCGGGTGATCGCGTTGGCTCGACCTTTTTCTACCTAGATGATGCTTCAGGATGTTGATGTGATCATTAACATGCTAACCAGCCATTGACGCAGAGCACATTGATAGCGATCCATGTTGGTTCAGAGAGTCAGATCCATGACTACTGTCTTTGGGACAGAATCATAACAGACGACGAAGCAACGCGCTCAGCACGATGGAGTCGTGTTCCGCCGTTAGATCGACCGACCGATACATCAACGTGGTGAGAATGGCAAGATGAAGTGGCCAGGTCTGGGGAAGCGGAAAGAATGTGAACAAATACACCTGCCTGGTAACCTCGAGCATTGTCACAAGGACCGTAGACACAATGCTGTATCTTGAGAAATTCAAGCAGACCTGAGAACCCATCCAAAGTACGATCCCACTCATCTTCGCATCCCCGAAATGTCCGACATGCTGACGCCAAGCTCACGCAGCTTCATATTCCCCTCCAATCCAAACGAACCACCGTAAGACGAACACTACGTCAATCTCGCCCAGCCAAGCCATGCTTACCCTCACCAAAGTCCCCTCGAGATAGACCCTCAACCCCGTCCCACATCCCACACCGAGCAAACATCACAATCTCGCCCGTATCGAACAACCCACCGACAAAATGGCCTCCGCAACCCTTCCCGACACAATGAAAGCCGTCCAGGTCGTCGCCTACAATGCGCCCTACGAGCTCACCTCGGTCCCCGTCCCCGCCGCCCTCGAACCCCACGACATCCTCGTCAAAGTCGCCGTCGCGTCCTACTGCCACACCGACAGCCTGTTCCACGCCGGCGCCCTCCCGCTGCCGCTCCCCATCACGGCCTCCCACGAGGGCGCCGGCACCGTCGTCGCCGTCGGCGCCGCGGTCGCGAACTTCACAATCGGCGACAGGGCCATGTGCGGCGTCCCGCTGGGGCTGTGCGGGAGCTGCGCCGAGTGCACCGGCCCGGAGCGGTACACGCACTACTGCCCCAACCAGAAGGGTATTCTCGGGATGCAAGTGGACGGGTGTTTGGCGGAGTATGTCCGCGCCGACGCAAGGACGAGCGTAAGGATTCCCGACTGCGTCTCGCTGCTGAGCGCCGCGCCGCTCGCGTGTGCCGGGAGGACGGCCTGGCGCGGGGTGCTGCAGGCCGGCTTGGAGCCGGGGCAGTGGCTTGCCATCGTCGGGGCGGGCGGCGGGCTGGGGCACTTGGGCGTGCAGATGGCGAAAGCCCTGAGGCTGCGCGTGATCGGGATCGATGCGCGGGATGAAGGGTTGGAGCTGGCGCGGCGGAGCGGCGCGGATGTCGTGCTTGATGCGAGGAAGGGGAACGCGGAGGTTGTTGCGGAGGTGAAGACGGCAACGGGGGGTGTGCTGGCGGATGCGACGGTGAATCTTGCGGATGCGGAGTCTGCTGCTGGGCTTGCATGCGCAGTTACGAAGATGCACGGCACGATGCACCAGCTTGCGCAGCCGGCTGAGGTGAAGATTCCGTTCTTGGAGTTGATATTGCGGGATATTACGGTCAAGGGCACTTTGACGTGCTCAAGGGGAGAGACGGAGACGATGCTGGAGCATATTGCGGAACACGGCATCAAATTGGAGAATAACGTCTTCCACGGACTGGACAAGATCTTTGAAGCATTGGAGCTTGTGAACAGCGGCAAGATCAGCGGTAAAGCCGTCATCATCGTGGACGAGGAGCAAGTGAAGGAGGATGAGAAGATTGGTGCCAAATATTAATGCTTTACTTTTTTTTCTAGTTTACAATTACAAAGGGCTCACTCATCATCTCATGACTGGTTGGACGCAGCTGCCGCCGTGACATCCTTGCGGTGCTTATCCCACGGGCTTCCTCCACGGTTCGTCGGGGTATCAGCCATATGGCTCGCAACCTTGGTATCAACCGGCCTCTGATGCCTCTCCTTCCCTTGACTGCCGCCTCCCGTGCCAAAGAAGCCCCCCAGCTTCTGCGAAATGCCACCCTCGGTGTTACTCGCGCCCGCGCTCGACCCCGGGCCATGTGTCTCAATCGCCCTGCTATTCGCATTGCCGCGTCCCTGCCCACCGCCAATCGCACCCGCGTCCGATGGGAACTTGTCCTTCGGGCCCTTGGGCGTGTCGCGGTTCGGGTTGTCCGTGTTGCCGCTCTTGAGGCCGGAGCCTAGGTCGGTGCCGCCGGTCACCTGGTTCATGCCCACGCCGGCGCCGCCCATGCCGAGGTCGCGTTTCGCGTCGGCCTGCTGCTTCTTGTTGGCGACCTCGTCGGCTGTTGGGCGGGGCTTGTTTGTATCATAGACTTGCTGGGCTGGGTCGCCGGCGGGGTTTTCGGGCTTGACGTGTCTGTTGAAGGCGTAGAGGCCGCCGCCGAGGAGGACTGCGCCTGCGGCGATGGGTGTTGCGAAGTGACGGGCAGCCATGATGACTGCTTTTTTACTTGATGTTTCTTTATCGAATCGTTTATCTCGGTGAGCTTTGCGTCTTCAATTCTTGGTGGCTGTGTGATGTAGCTGTGCTGTAACGTGATGACTGAAGTATTAAGAGGAACAACAAATGGAAAAAAGGCATATTACATTCGGAGCCCAGCTTCACTTTAACAGGCCCTCCTCCTGACGAAGTATGGCATCATCCCACCCGCACGAGGTTGCCCACTGCAAACGCGCTCATACCTCATCCGATGCGAGGGGCGGGCGCAGAATCGATGACAGCTTGTCGCAGAAGCGATGACATCAGGATTGTGGTGCGATGCGCATGTTCCACGCCGTGGCGTTTTAGCGGAGAAACCCCTTCTTTTTGCGGAATGCGGTTCTTCTTTTTGTCCACCCTTATGCAGGGCCGATCGGCAGGAACCGCAATCGATGACGATTTCGTTGATTCGCCAATCGAGCTACGTAGTTCGTGAAACGAGGGGCAGTGCCCGCGCATCTCAGATTTGTGGTATCATTCGGGGTAACTGTGTAGGGCAACTGGGTAATTTCATCTAGATGCGGATTTCCATCAATGCGTTGCATCGTAGCAGCAGCTGGCTTCATGTATGCCTGAGCGGCTGCTCTTCATCATCATCCTCGCCCTCGTCCGGTGAGAGGGACAGACCCGGTTCGGCGTCGGTAAAGTCCTTCACCGTGAAGCTAACCACTGTGATCTTGCTTTCTTCATCAGCAACAGCACCCTGCTGCTCCATCCAGTTCACCTTCTTCCCCAACAACGCTCTCATATACACACACACCACCGCCAGACACGCAGCCGCGATCGCCGTCCCCTCCATCACGACGAACCCCTCCCCAAACCGCGCATTCACCTCGTCCATCCCCGGGCGGCTCACATAGCTCTTGAGCAGCAGCCCCTTCGTCGCCAGTCCAAAGGCCGGAAGGAAGACAAACGCCGGCAAGGTGGACCACACCCACGCGCGGTATCTGTCCCAGAAGCCCGGCGACAGGGCCTCGATCTGGGCGCGCGAGCCGCGCGGGCAGGGATACACGCGCTTCAGGGCGGCGAAGTAGCACTGGCACCGCAGCCAACTCGGGCGCGCGACGATGAGGAGCTCGGTGAGAAATAAGATGCTGATGTAGGAGATGGCGAGGACGTGCGAGGCGTACTCCAGCGTGCCGGTCATTTCGAAGCCGTCGTAGCGGAACGTGTTGAAGAAGGGGGATGTGCACTGGTCGGCGCTGCGGAGGCAGGCCCACGAGGAGGGGTCGACGCCGAGATGCTCGCCGATCTGGATGAAGTCATATGGTAAGTTGGGCTCTGAGGTAGCGAAGGCTGCGGTCGAGGCGTTTGGGTACTCGTAGCCGAAGGAGGAGAGGAAGAGGTGCATTGTGAGATCGTATGAGCCTGGCTTCGAGGATGAGGGGACGATGCCGTCAAACTGCGCATTGTCAGCCACATTCCGAGCGATGCGCGGACAGGAATGACTGCAGACGCACTTTTAGTACTGACAGGCTGGACAGTCCCAACCGTTGGACGCCATCGCAGCCCCGTGTAACCCATGTGCCGGCGATCAGGGTCAAGATCTGTACGACGCCGGCGTAGAGTGCGAGTGCACATGCCACGATGAGAAGCGCTGTGCGACTGCGCTGTCGCAAGCCCGGCTTGGGCTGAATTTCTGCCTGGCCCATCTTGTTGTTGAAATGAGCTGTCCAAGACGGATTGAAATGCGCAGCCAAGACTTCCAGACGCGAACGCTGTCCCGAGAGATTGGGAGAGTTTCGCGGGAGCGCAGATTCAGATGAACGGAGGACGCGGAACGTGATGGAGGGGAAGGGGGGGGGCGCGATGAACAAGCTTAAAAAGCGATAAGAGGGGGATCGGCTTTCAGCTTATGCTGTGAGCCAGGTCCAGGGGTTGGTTGGTTTGCTCGTGTCTAAAAATGCTTCCCTTCGCTTTCGCAAGCCACGCGCGCGGGGTCTTGGCGTTGGTGGCATGGATGAGCGAAAGTCGCATGCTTGTGTGAAGTTGATCAATCATTTATTACTCCACGCATGGAAGCGCTTGTCAGTGAGTGAAAGTAATCCTTCCCGAGGAAATCGTTGGATTCTGGCACAAAATGGAATTCATCTGTTCAATTGCGCCTTAAAGTCTGGCAATCTGCAGGGCCGTTACTCAACCCCGGCACCATCCCCGGACCCGAACCAACGGCGGAACTCCGTGTGCTCGTATCCCGTATCAAAACCCGTATCACGGATACTATTGCCCCAAATCTGTGCGCCGCTTTTTCAGAATTCTTGACCTCAATTGTTGCTCATCCGTGGGCGACATCACTGCTTGATCTCCTGTTTGTGAAAGACGCCTATTCCCACCATCAGCACTCACTCCACCCGCTCCCCGACAGCACACACAATAATACTGACCGTCAATCTCCGGCATCCATCCCTCTCTCTGCGCGCAAAAGAACTCTCCCTTGGGCGGCACCTTGTCAGGCTCGTCGAACGTCCCCCACATGACGTACCGAAACTTGTCCGCCGCCGCCTCCCCGTACTCGCACACGAACGCGCCGCACGTGTCGCAGAACTCGCGGATCACGCCGTTGTCCTGCTTGAACTTTTTCGGCTGGCCTCGCGTGTAGGAGAAGCCTTCCAGCGGGACCTTGGGCCATGGAGGGATATCAGCGCACCGCCTCGGTTTGTTGCGACGGAATGAAGGCCGGCATGGAGGCCACGAACCTTGGTCGTCAGACCGTAGTTGGTCCCAAAGGCTCTCTTGCAGCTGGAGCAGTGGCAGAGAGATGTCCTTGCATCGTCCGTGGAGGCGAGTTTGGCGGAGTAGTGTAGTCGGGCGCAGACGCAGCGGCCGGTCAATGTGGTGGCCATGATGAACAGAAGATAGGCAAGGTGAAGTCGATTGAATTGCTGTGTTCGGGATGAGACTCGTCCAAATTCAGTCAAAGGTCTCAAGAGATCGGCTTCTCCTTTATTTGAAGTCACTCGTCACGAAAGGTGTTCGTTGACATGATGTAGGTGCAGGTGCATCAGCGGGAATGACTGCCAGCTGACGTCACGATCTTCGGATACTCAGACTCGGCATCCTCAACCTCGCTCTCTTGCGTCTGAGTATCCCTTTAGGGGCGGAAAATAGCTCAGCCAGGGATTATTTATACCTCCAGGGGTAGTTAACTAATTACGTAATTCGATTAATAATTAACTCTACGCGAAGTATATTACTAATAGGGGTTACTATACCCTTCTACTACCTAAAAAATCCAGCCTATAGTATTACTATCTAGGCGTTTTTACTATACTATTTTACCTAGTAGTCACTAGTATAATAGAAGGGTATATCGCACTTAATATAGCCCTAATATATATAGCGCTATTCCTAGCTACTATTTCTATTTACTTACCCTAATATAGTCCTTCTAAAACGCTTTATATAGGCGTAGTAACGCTATTCCTTCTAATATTATCTAAGTTTATAAGGGGGGGCCTCTATATCTTAGATAGGTATAAAGTAATACTTTCTAATAGCTATAAGCCTAAATTTTACTATTAACTGTTCATAAAGCTCTTATTAGAAAGCTATAGAGGGCTTATTATATATAGGGTTTGAGGCCTTATAGAGTAGGTATGTATTAATAAGTATAACCCCTATAGTATAAAAAAGTTAGCGAATATAGCACTAAAAGTGCCCTGCAGACCCCTAATATACCTAGTAAGTATTAGCATAGGTATAAGCGTATTTAAGGGCGTAGTATATACGCCTATATAGTATAGGGTTATAGATAGGCTTATGTTATAATAAAAGGTGATAATCCTAAGCATTTATAGGCATTTAATTATATAGATAATAATAAGGAA